CATTTCTATTTCTTGATGTTGAGGATGAAAAGCTCAGGTCCTGAAGGGCAACAGCACTGAGAACCTTCCTTTGATTTTCTTGCCCTGGCACATCTGAAACAGTAATGAGTTGCATTAAATGTGTTAGAGAATGATGAACACTAAAACATACAGTGATGTGACCCTCTCTTATCTTTACTGTCTTTAGCAGTAATTTTTTAAGCATTTCCTTATGTACTACTTCAACGAAATTATATAGGGATGCACAAATATGAAATTGCTAGACTGGTAATATGAACTGGATATCTACAGTAATTCTACAGTTTTTTTTAAAAACCCATTTCAAACATACACTGTCAGGAAAAAAGGTTTCACTTAATTTTTTAAATCGAAAAGGCTGGAGACAAGAGGGTGTATGGAGTCAATATAGCTTAAAATGTAATTGCAATGAAATATGGTACAATTATGTTCTCTAACTAAAGGTACTAAAATGTACCCTTGAGGGTACCACCCTGGAGATAAGAGAAGAACTACCATAAGGTAACTTGTATTTAGTTACTGAGAATGTATAATACGTATGTGAAGTGTTGTGAGTGTAAACAATTAAAACAAACCCTGCTGTTGTTGCTCTGTTAGAACTGTTTGTTCACGGCAAATGTGAACGCTGCCACCTGAACCCTGGCTTGGACCAAATGAGCTTACCGAGAACCCCTGAGGAGTGGTTTGTTTGGAATATGAGTGCAAAAGTGCGAATGGACCAAAGATGTCTAAACATCAAGTTTTAGGCATTTTATTAAAATGGTAAGACACCTGAGACTGTGTGGTTTAACAATTTCACTTTGCTTTGTATCGTGAAGCACAGTGACACACAACCTCTCATGGCTTACTGCTTTAGAATATCACAAGACATACATAAAACCCAGTAGCTAGCAGGCCTGGTAGACAGAGCACAGCCATTCTGTGAGGAAAGCGGCTAGCCTGGAGATTCAGATTTTACAGCGGATGAAGTTGTGGACGAGCTTTCAACACGGGCGTCGGATACGGCTGTTCTGAACGACGTTCTCCTCTTTGTTTACTCTTTGAGGCCAGTTTGTCTGCAACAGGTCACACCAGTAAAGACAATGTAAAGAGTGAGTACTGCGCCTCAGCTCAAAATAAATAAATTCAAGATCAAGAGAAACATTCCATAAAACTGTAATGATTTCCGTAAGTATGTTTAAATTACTGCACTCAGCCTGAGAGGGTCAGGGTCGTACGCTTTTCATCTGATACTAACACAGCACCTGCAACACATTAGGAAGTTTTTGTGAAAAATCATTGAAAGGAATGAAATGATCGCATTTGCATATGAATGAATATTTAATTTCGGGTTGAGTCATAAAATCCACCAGTCACAGGATTGAGATGCAGAATTGGTTCACATTTTCTTGTACAGTTCGGGCCCTCTTACTTGTAGCTCAGAAAAAAAAGAAAAGCCTGTCTGTTCCACTTTGTTCTTATGGCCTTCTGCTGCATTTGCTTCCTTCCACCTTTTGTTATCTTTGTCATTCAAATAAATGTGTGTTCCATAGCATTCAATGGTATATCTATTATGGTTGCCTGTTATCTCTTGCATACTTGGTATTTCTGACTTCACATGGCTGTGATGGCTTGTTCACTGTACAGGGCTTTTCAGTGAACTCGAGCGTGAAGTTTCAGGATTGTGATGCTTTTTGGTTTGCCTTTGGCTGCTGGGTGGGGTGTGGTGGGGTTGGGGGGTGGTAAGAAGGAAAATGTAAAATCACCCAGTGTCACCAAGATAAAATCACTCTCTGTAGCAGAAGGGGGGTGAGTGTGTGTGTGTGTGTGTGTGGTGTTTTCCCCCTCCCCCTTCCTTTATTTCACGGAGTCTACGGTGACCGGGGTGGGGGGGGTGGGGAGTGGAAGGATGTTGCTTGATTAGCGTGGGTGACATTTCGTTTGATTCCTTTTCTTCTAATTGACTGAGCCGAGCTGAATGAGATGGGCTGCTGTGTTCTGCTTGGCTTGACTTGCCCGGTGGAGAAGCTCCATTTTTCAGGGGTACTGAGTGAGCTGATGACGATTTAAAGTCATTAAGCCTCTGAGGAAAAAAATGGCTGCTGAACGTGCACCCTTTCTCACAGCAGAGACCCAAAGAATGGTGTTTTCCTTGAAAAGAAATTTCTGTCAGCCTCGCAAAAAGCAATTATAAAAAGCAATTTTTTGTGTTTTTGTGTTTGGTCTACAAAATGTTGGTTCAGAAAATCTGCTCTCCTCACTCATTTAACGTTTTGTTTGTGTGTGGAAAGTTCATATGTACACTTAATGATTCTGGTTTAATCTGGCCCTTGTCTGTTAGTCTTGTGTTCCACTTGCCACTCTGAACCAGTTAAATGAATCCCTGACACTGATGCTGTTTGTGGAAACTGCCTACTGCCTTTGAGCATGCCGGACACTTGGAGCAATATAAATGCTAATCTAGAGACGATTTACTGACTATTAAGAAGTAATTGAGTTGTTTCATTTTGCCAGTGCTGAATACTGTGGGATGGGTACATTTTATGTTGTTTGCTGTTCTTTCCCCTGCGTCAGAGGGAAAGCTATCTGTCGGAATGGAGAGGAGGGGGGTGCTGACAGCATGTAGTAAGGCTAGAAGCTTCAAAGGCCTATTCTGGATCTTGAAGGTTGGAATTATCCCTAGTTTGTGAGTGTAGTATGTCTGTTTCTGATTCTGAGATTTGAGTTTTTTTTTGTGTGATTTCTGTGTGGATGGAGCCACTACTAACAATTCAACAGTTTCTAGAGGGGCAGTATGACCATTCTAAGAAACAGCTCCATCATCCTGCTGAGTTAGGTTAAAGTAAATATTATGGGTTAAGGGCTTGTTTTAGCTTTCTAAAAATAAGATCCCCATCCAGATGTAGAAACAAAAAAGTGCAAAGATGAATCATCAGATGATATTGCCTTTTTCATCTGAAGTAAGATTTGTTTTGTACACATTATAGTAAATTGTAATTGTTAAATTTAGGATTTTGTATAAGAGTGTGATGACAAATGTGTTTTTTTATATTTAGACTGACAGATACTAAGTTGTACATTGCATTTTGAGATCTAGTATGAGCTATTTTACATAGTATAAGTGTTTTTTTGTGTGTGTGTGTTGAGTGGGGTTTTTAAGTGTGAGTAAGTAGTAAGGGTCATTGCAGGCCTACTGTATATGGAGAAGCAGTAAGTGTCCAGTATTGATTAGTGCACTGAAAGAGCGCAGTGGGATATTAAGGGCAATGCTGCTTTGTTAGCATGAGGTTAACAGGTGCAAGCTGGCATTGGTTCTTTCTGCCGCAATCAATAAACTTACAACTTAGAATGAAATGCTTTACTAGGCTCCACCAGATGGGAGTGTGTATGAAATTTAGAGGGAGATGGACTGAAAGGCAGGATGAGAGGCGTGTACTTCATGCACGTTAGTAGAGTGCTGCTCTGGATGCGGCAGCAAGTGTATTGTAGTTTCCAGGAGTCCTTCCTGCTCTCAGAAGTCAACAGTGTTTGAAGCTTGATGTGGAGACAAAAGCGTGCGGGGGCATGATTGAACTGATCTGGGCATGAAAGCGTCCGGTGGAGCTCTGCAGCAGCCCTGCACCCGGCATGTGGAGTGCTCCACACGCCACTCCTCTCACCTTATGCACTGCTGCTGCTCACTGCTGTGCTCCACACATTCATAAGCAGCTCATAGAACAGCCCTAATGTTCCAACGTGGCTAACAATCAATGGGAGCAAGCTGAGCACCAAAGCCAACTGTTATCATGAGCATGCCACCTGTTGGGATTCATGCTGTGTTAGCTTCTTTGGATTTTTTTTTTGCTGATCTATCGCTTAAACATGTACTGTGGGTCTATTTTATTTATTTATATACACAATACAGAAGTAATGTAGCCGGTATAAACGATAAGGGATCTTAAAAAAGCAATCCTCAAAACAGGTATACCCTAAACGGCACTAACCGCTTTGTTACTGCAGATGGGAGCGTTGAAGCCTCTTTGGCCTTTTTTGGTGTGTAGACAGGGATGTCTAATTAAGCTTCCATAATGAAATAATTGTTAAAATATATACATATAGATAAAGTTTTTTTCCCCCATTAAAAATTAATGCAAAAAAATTAGATTAACCACGAACTGACACACACTTGTTAATTGAATTTTTTTCCTCTCCGATTAACAGTTCCTGAATAGGCAGGGTTCAAGTTGAAAATCGTATATGAATTGTATGCATGAGGCTGCGCTAGGCAATTGGTTCTGCTAAAGAGACCAACCAAAAAGTGAAATGCAGATTAAAAAGTTCAGGAGCACTGTTAAAAAGGGCAGTAGCAATAACAGTGATGCATCACTTTGACAGTAATCATCCACAAGCAGTAAGGCAACTATTTTATCCATGTTCTCCAAGAGTGTGACACAAAAGTGTGATTCGCAGCAGTGTCAGGAAATCTCACATGGATGTGCAAAGTTATAGAGAAGGACATCATGGATGACTGTGGCTTTTGAGATCCACTGAGATAAACTGAACCAAAGTTAGTCCCAGTCATGGCAGTTATTTGTTTTAACTTGGGCTACTAATGAGTGGCAAACGTGTCTTTAGAACTTTAGAATATGTAACTTGGGGTTGCCAGTCATTATGTATTCCAGTCATTTCATCAGTTTTTTTAGTTTTTGATCATATAGTCATGAATATATAATCCCCTCGGTTTAAGTGAAAGGTCTGTTTAGAACTGACCCTATCAGGTTTCAGAACCCGATGGGCTCATCTGCCAATCAGGTTTCAGAACTGGAGCTATCTATTTTATAATCGATATTTTGATGGGTGACATCCTTAATTTTGGGCTTGCTGGTTAATGGATGTTCACAGACTAATGGTAATCAGTTATAGGCCAAAAGATAAAAAGCCTTATGAGCGTTAGACAATTGCTTGAAGCGTCATCCTCATCTTGTGCTGGGTGTTTATGTTTCTGGCGTTCTGTTTGTGTGCAGGAATTGAGTGTCCACGAGGATCCCGAAACATTCCAGGTGGGGTCCCAGAGCCATTCAGTGAGGAGGCCACACTTTTCACCAAGGAGCTGGTTCTGCAGAGAGAGGTAGGACCCCTGGCTAATACTTGTCCCTCAAATTTGGTCCAATTGAAGGTTCACATTGTATCTGACAACTGCAAGTTGGGATTTGCAATATGGCAAAAGTTTAACATCACGATTAGGGATGCATCAATATCAACATAACACCAGCTGCAATGTTAGCCAGGTGTACATTGCCGTGCTAATGAACAAACGACTCAAGCTGGCAGTGTAGACGGCTCTGTTCACACAGAAGTTACTGACTCTGTCACAGTTGGACACGGTCACTGGTCAATTTAAAGTTTAAACTGTTTGCCTTGGCAGAATTTCACCAGGAATACACTGTGTGATTGTAGACTCACTGTGTGTTTTTGCATACAATCACAGCCGTGTCCTCTATACGAGTGGAGATGCAAAGGCCAGCGAAACAGAGATGAAAAAGTTTACATGTCTTACCAAATCTGTCTATGCCAACATTACTCTGTTTGACTAAATAGATTTACTACGTATATACAAATGCTTTTTTTTTTTGTGTGTAAAATCAGCTGTAGAGAATCTATATTGTCCTACTGTGCACATCATGGCCTGGTTTAGTTTTTGTGCACAGTGTTGGCAGCACTCAGTTTCTCAGCATGTTTGTACTTACGCTGATTGAAACAGCTTTATTTATGAATGTTCATAGACAGAGGTGTCTGTAGAGGCTGCGTTTCGTGTAGCATACACAAACCTTTTTTGGATACAGTGCGGGTAAATAAATTGTACATTTTGTCTGTACATGATGGTCTATTCAGATGTACAGTGTGAGTCACCAAAGAACAAAATTTCTAAAATCAGTGTATGTCTGGATTTAGACGACATTCAGCTTAACCAGCCAAACAAAATACTTCAGACCTTAAACTCCACACAAGCATCCACTCTTCGGATGCTCCAGCCTCAGATGTGATTCCTGCTGTCACTGTGCCACATAGACTGTTGTTGAAAGACACAGGTGAGGGGCAAAGCTACAGCTGTACAGAAGTGCTTTTCTGGAACAAAACCTGCTCTTTGCCACTGCTGGGCTACTTGATCAAAGGCAGCTTTAAATGGGGTAGCATATCTAGCTAATGCACTTCATTTAAAATCAGCTAAATTTAATGATTTAACTGTTCAAGTGCACTGATTTACACCAAAAACAACTTGATTCTAATTCGTTTGCTCAGTAAGGTATCGGACTCAGTGTTGGCGTGTACTAAAACTATGTACTCGTACTTGGTCAGAAAAAAAATGATATTGATGCATCCATAATCACATATACCTGAAGACATGTTGACAATACACAATACATTTTTTTTTTCCTCTGAGGTTTAATAAGTTGAAGTAGACACTGCACCAACAAAACAAAGCAATATTAAAAGTGCACAAACAGAACAGTGATTTAATTTTTTTTATGTTTTAGATCAAATATCTACACATAACCTGTTCAGTTAAACAGGACCAGTTATGCTTTCTTGGACTCCCAACATCGTCAAAATTCAAACCTTACATAGCTGGGCCACTTGGGAACAGCAGTTAAGCTCTTTAATGTTCTTAAACTACTCATTATATCCACAATATGCTCAGAAAAACTTCATTGTAATGTCATTTACCATGATAAAAATATCACTAGAGTGACCCAGGTTTAGGTTTTTTAATGCAAAGCCTTGACTCTTCTGTGCTCAGTGCAGAGTGCCACTCATGGCTGTTTTTACTGTTCAGCCTCACTCTCTCTAACAGATGAGGAAATGCTGCGTGTGGCCAGAGGTGCTGTCGAAGTTAGGGTTAAAAAGCTTTCACCAGTTCAGCGGGGAAAGCTTTCTCCCAATCATTCTGAAGGGGCCAAGTGGAACATACGCGCACACACACACTCTCATGCACGTACACACAGGCAGCCTTTCTCTTCAGGCCATTTCAGGCACTGTTAGCGCTATTTCCATTAGTGTGGTGTGAACGAGCCAGGCTCTGTAGTCAGGCTTAATGAGGTGAGCTTTATATAAGTGGCTGACTCTAACCTGCCCGCTGTAGACGGGTGGGACTCAGGAGCCTGCTGCTACATTCATTAGAGAGAGAGAGAGAGAGAGAGAGAGAAATGAGAATGAGCACACAATGAACAGGCCTTTACTGACAGAATACCTTTTGGCCGTACAAGTTTTAAAATGTATATCTGGAGGAATTTATGTATCTACATAAAGAAAGGGTCTCGCTCTTGCATGCTCGCTGTCACAGTACAAACTATACTGAGCTTTTTAACTGTACAGAGCTTTTTAAGTTTACGAGAGTAGCCTCTATGAGAAGAAAATTTATTTAAAATCCATGACTGACTGACAGGTTCATTTGTGTCCTCCGTTGTAGATGGACACATGCCTCAAGCGGTGAGGAAATGGAAGGAAATTCCATGCTACATGCAGTTAACAGTGTTTCTCTCACTTGTCCTTTCTTCCTTTGAGGTGTGTTAAGGAGTGCATGTGTATAAAACCATGTGGTAGGTTTTGCCTTCGGAGCCACATGCTGAAAGTGCTTTTCCTCAAGATCCTACTCCCTGACCAACTCCTGATGTTGAGTGCATAATTGAGCTAGCACATGTGGCAATCCAAGAGACCATGGTTTCCCTGAACCTCCATCTTTTAAAATGTTAGGCAACGTGGAATTAAGACAGAAGACTGGCATTCTTTCTCTGTTTCTCCCAGGCTGTAGGAGCTCATCTTAGCATTTGCTTTTTGGGCCATGTAAGCCCACGCTTTCCTTTCACTGGTACTCCACTGAAAGTGGCCAGATGTTTTATTTTGGCTTTGGGTTTGATAAGTAGCCCAACATTACTAGAATAGAAGGTTGAAATTGTTAGGAAGCAGAGAAAGTCCTGCTGCAGGGTGAAAATTTCTGGTTTGAAATTGAGGAATTCAGTAATAAAGCTTGTTTAAGCTTAGAGTTCTTGATGTTTTTTGGTTTGTGCTTTCTTTCTCCATCTGTTTGTTTCTCTCTCTCTCTAGTAGCAGCAACAGCATGCTCAGTGGCTTTTGCATAGCAGCTCTGTTTGAGAGCAAGAGAACAGAGCTGGATAGAGAGAAACAATAAAGATGACTGTAGAGAAAGAGAAGTGCTTTAGTTTGGCCCCAGTCATGAGTTATATTTTTGTCCTGCTGCCTCCTGCTCTTACAGATCACATAATACTCAAATGTTGACCCTTTCTGTTCAAAACCATTAACTCTTACTGCAAGGCAAAGTATGTGAATGTTTTTCGGTTGTCCATTATCGTTGGCAATTGTTAAAAGCGCAAAAAACCTATCAGTGTCAGAAGAATACCTGTTGATGAAAGTACTCGTGTTTAGTGGCTTTTCTTATATTGTAATAAATGACGTGGGGCAAAAAAAGCTCACACAGCTGTCACCTAACTGGTAATGTTAAATGTAGACAGTCATCTTGGTTCTAAACATGTAGAATGGACCTAAACCTTTTGTGTGAAGATGAAACACTATACACCTTTATATGGAAAAAAAAATGGTTATCAAAATAACAAAACCTAAAACCACAATGAATTCTAGGAAGCTAACCTTGTTCAAAAGTTTGGAATCCCTGTTTTCAGTCTGTGAAGCCAATTTGATGAAGATACTTTAAAAAATGTTTCAAATATGATGCTAGTATCTTACAGCCTCAAAGATTTCAGCCAGTTAGCAGAAAGCTGTTAAGCACGAAATTGTAGACGTGTCTGGAATAATAAACAAAGCTTGTAGATAATTCTGTAATAATTTAGAAAGCTGTATAATCTTGAGAAAGAATTTAACAGATAAGTTTACTATTTAATAATTTTTTTGGTGTTCCCAAAAACTTGAAGGTCTTCAAACTCACCAAGTACTTTCTGGTGTCAAGCTTACAGTGTTTCTGTATACAATGTTTAAGTTATTATTGAATAAAATAACAGCAGTTATTATGACACATGATTCCTGTCTTTTGAACAGCAGTGTGTTACTTAACTCTGAGTTTCTCTTTTTTGTTTTGTTTTGGTCTAATGAATGTAACTAGTGAGAGCTAATGATATGAGACAATAAACCAGTGCTCAGCTAAAACTATTGGAGTATAAAATTAAGTCAACAAAATAAATCTAAAGTTATGTCGGCTATCTAAATGTTTTGTCCCTTTGAACTGGTATCGGTCACAAATGTTTGTATCCGTTGGACCTTAGTAATGCATAAAAGAATAGCTTGCTCAAAAGACAGAACTTGGAGAAAGGCTGTCTCCCTGACAATGTTGGCTTCAGAGGAGTTTGACTTGAACTACTGCATGGCCTAACTACTGTGTTTTTAATGATATAGTAAGATTTGTGTTTTACTGAAGGAGAGAGTGTTGTGCCTTTGCTGTTTGACAGCGCATTGGATTTCTCAAAGTGCACCACTCTCGCATTGATTCCCCAACTCTGGACTTATTTCTCGCTAGTCACATTGCATAAGTGCTGCATCTCTCTCTCTCTCTCTCTCTCTCTCTCTCTCTCTCTCTCTCTCTCTCTCTCTCTCTCTCTCCTCCCTCTCTCTCTCTCCCTCTCCCCCCCCCATCTCTCTCATCTGTCTCCTCCTGTCATCATCTCTCTCTCTCTCTCTGTCTCTCTCTCCCCCTCTCCCTTCTCTCTCTCTCTTCTCTACTCTCTTCTCTCGCAGTTGAATAATTAATGGAGTGTTTGACTGGCAGGACACACACTTGGACACCCAGGTCCCTTGAGACATGCAGTGTGGCAACACCAAATTAGACACTGACACTGCAATCCTGCTCAACACTTTGAACACTTTTGTTTTAAATGCATGCCTGTTTTTTGTTTGTTACAATGTGCTATAGATTCCACTCTAGGCTAAGCTAAGATAAAGCTCTAGCTTCATATGTACTACAAGTTGTCTTGCATTACATTTACATAAACAAAGGCACATGTTTAGGTTTATTACTGAGATTGAACCTGTGTCTCTTGTAGTTCTACTGTTTTAATTCATATAGTAAAATTTAATGCCATTGCATATATATCCTTTATTCAT